TGCCTGTGCCTAATTATTATCCCAGAGAATCTCCCAAGCACTATTTTTTTTCAAGGGACTCTTTCCTGAAAGGATAGAGTTTCTGTCAGTAGAAGACAGTAGGAGTTTCTATCCAAAAAGGGTCCATCTGCCTAGATCTTAAAGGACTCACTTAGGACTCCTGCAGAAAAAGGGCTTTTCTCCATCTGTTTATAAAGATTTGTTTTCATTTTAATTACTTGCTTTTATCAAAGCATCTGGAAATGTTGTGGAAATAATACTGTATGTAAGCTTCAGGGGGAAAAAAAAAAGTTGGAAAAGACTATCATTTGGATTGCCACCCCAAACCCTTCTCAGTCATCCCAAAACAACCTCCCTCAATGAAAATCCTCTTGAGAAATGACAGGAAGGATTAAGAAGACAGCATCTCCTCTTCAGCTTATCTTGATTCAAGAGGAGGAGTCGCTGGGTGCAGCAGGGTGTTGAAGGGAAAAGCAGCCAACTGCTAGAGCAATCGGAAAGTGTTTGGGACACCCAGGCTCAGTTGAAATTTTCACTGGAGATTTTCTGGGTAAACAAGGGGAATCCACCTGATCTCCCTATGACCTGGTTTCTTGTCTGTCAAATAAGGCAAATAGATGGTATTGTAAGACTAGGTGCACTAAAGATTGCTCGGATCATTAAAGGGGCTGGGGGCGGGGTGGTGGTGTTCAGTAATACTGCCACTGCTAGAGAGGTTCTGAGGCCATTTTAGCCAACCCCGCAGCCTGTTACTCCCTTGTCCAACCTAGTGTACTACCTGTGGAATGGGGAGCAAAGTTACAGCAAACCAGATTTAGCAGGTACGGTAAATAAGTGGGTATGGTATGGTATGGTGTGGGTATGGTGTGGGTTTGGTGTGGCGTGGGTATGGTATGGTATGGCATGGTATGGTATGGTGTATGGTATGGTATATGGTATGGTATGGTATGGTATGGTATGGAATGGCATGGCATACCATGGCATGGTATGGTATGGTATTGTATGGTATGGTATGGAATGGTATGGCATAGCATGGCATGGTATGGTATGGAATGGAATGGTGTGGAATGGCATGGCAGGGCATGGTATGGTATGGTAAGGTATGGCATGGAATGGCATGGCATAGCATGGCACGGTATGGTATGGTATGGTATGGCATGGCACAGCATGGCACGGTATGGTATGGTGTGGTATGGTATGGCGTGGTAGGGCGCGGTAAGGTACAGTATGGTAAGGTATGGCACAGTATGGCACGGTATGGTATGGTACAGCACGGTATGGTGCAGTATGGGGTGGTATGGCACAGTATGGCATTGTAAGGCACAGTATGGTATGGTACGGTGTGGTATGGCATGGTATGGGTATGGTATGGTATGGTATGGTATGGTATGGTATGGTATGGTATGGTATGGTATGGTATGGTATGGTATGGTATGGTATGGTATGGTATGGTATGGCATGGCACAGCATGGCACGGCATGGTATGGTATGGTACAGTACGGTATGGTACAGTATGGCATAATAGGGCATGATATGACATGGAACAGTACGGCATGGTACGGTACGGTATGGCACGGCACAGCACGGCACAACGTGGGGGGCACAGGAGGGCACCGGGTGGACTGGCGTGGCACTGTGGGGTGGCGGGTGGCGTGGAAGAGCACAGCAGGGGATGGCACGGCGCGGCACAGCGTGGTGTGGCATGGCGTCCTATGGCATGGTGTGATGTGGCACAGTATGGCCTGGTATCTCCATCTCCATCCCCATCTCCATCTCCATCTCCATCTCCATCTCCGTCCCCCTCTCCATCCCTGTCCCTGTCCCTGTCCCTGTCCCTGTCCCCAGGCAGGAGGGGACAGTGGGAGGCAGAGTGGAGCTGTGCCAGGACAGTGCCAGGACAGTGCCAGGGCTGTGCCAGGACAGTGCCAGGGCTGTGCCAGGACTGTGCCGGGGCTGTGCCAGGGCTGTGCCGGGGCTGTGCCAGGGCTGCGCCAGGGCTGT